GGACGGACACCGCGCGGACGGAGTCGCGGGCGAAAGCTAGTACTTTACAATTTTAATTAAAGTTTTTGCTATGATCTTGGAGTTTTTGTTTTATGTATAATGATGGATCTAGCGGCAATTAAAGTTAAAATTTGCACTTAGTCCGTAACGCTTTATAGAATCGTTCTTTGTTTTAAAATATTATAACAAACAAAAACTAAACAGTTGTGTTACTTTTTATTCAATTACGGCGATGTAGTGCTAGAATAAAGTGACCATTATAACAAATAATCTAAACTGAAATCGCTGAATTTTGCTAAATGTGGTAAAACTGGAAGGATACTGGTTTCGCCTTTACAACAACTAAAGACCTAAATATAATAAAAAATATGTGAAAGGTCTGGTCCATTGAAAAAGTAATGCAATATATAGTAGACTAGACAAAAAGTACCGAACTTATAACTGCAACCAAAAATCGTCGACTCTATAATAATTTTTCATTAAGCAAAAAAAAAGTGCATCGTATAAGAAAAAAACATTAGCATTTATGTGTTTAACAGTATTTACCAAATTAATACGGTTTATTCTTGAGTAACATTTTGCTTTGAAATCATCGGTTTCTTCTTTTTTATGTATCCCAAAAAAAATAATTATAATTAGTTACGTTGCAGTAAGACGCTACAATCTAGATTACCTGCAAATACATGTTATTAAAAAAAGTAAATTATAAAAACTATAAAATGATTATTAGATAACCTTAAACTGTATCATATATCTCACAAACTATTCATAGTTTCGTAAACATTTTTAAAAACCTATTAAAATAAAACAATTAAACCGACTGATCTTAATCAAATTGTATGCAGCTGGTTTTTTGCGTCAATGTCATTACTAAAAAATATAAAATAAAGACATAAATATCTATAAATACGAAAATTAATTAATCTCGTTTCAGCGTTGCATCAAATATGTTTACCTATTTGTTAACTTTAATTTTAATTTTAATTCTTATACATGTTTATTTTCGATATAATCGTGAAGGCAGACTTATGGCGCAGATTCCCGGACTCAAGGGGCTACCTTTCTTTGGAAATACTTTCGATGTTTTGATGTCTCTCGGTATGTTAATTACATTTTATATTTGAAAATAACTTTTTTATAATTTAAAGGTACAAAGACAAGGCTTCAGTCCATTTTTTTTTAATATTTAACTAGACATAGGTTTTAATGCTCGGAGACAATCCTTCATTAGGATGTCTCGGCCTTTTTTTTGCCCGAGGAATGCATCTTACGCATACTCCTCGCCCAGGGAGATGCGGTAGTTATGTGGGACTCTCCCACCTCAATGGGAGGCATACCCACTAAACCCCTCGGTTCCAATGCAGTAGACAGGGGCCACGGGCACGCTATCGCTTACGTCCGCGACCCAAGAGGTTCGGCCTTAGTCAACCACGCTGGCCAAGTATGGGTTGTTTGACTTCATATTTGAATTTCTTTGTCGATATGTGCAGGTTGCATCACGATGTTTTCCTTCATTGTAAAAACGTCGGGTAAATTATGTATATTCGAAAAATCACATCGGTACATGGCGAGATTTGAACCCAAGACCTGTAGATTACAAGTCAAAAGCTTAAACTACTGAGCCACCGACGCTCATAATGCTATGCTTTTTGACCGATTTCCCAAAAGAAGGAGGTATTCAATTCGCCTGTGTGTTTTTTTTATATTTTTTTATGTGTATTACGGTTACGGCATTACTCCGCCGCTAGTGGACCGATTTTGATAATTCTTTTTTTATCCGAAAGGTAACGCTTCCAGGTGGGTCCCATTTTATTGATTGATTTTTTAACTAATGTTTTAAATGTTTTAACTAATGTTTGTTCATTTTTACAGAGGAATTATTCCAAAATCTACGCAAGATAAATAAAGAGTACGGAGATGTCAACAAGTTACAATTTTTTAATATAAACGCAATTAACATTTACAATCCAGATGACATTGAGGTATTTTCTTTATACACATCAAACCAAATATAAAAATTTGTACAACCTTTTGGTAACTTTAATTTAGAGTGGTAGGGCCCTCTTTAACAACCTCGCACGAATAGGCCGGCTCGCCCGATGTAATACCACGACCACACAGAAAACAGGCGTGAAGTAGAAGCAATTCCGCGTTTCTGATGAGTGTGGTGCCGAAGGCTTAATTTTACTTCCTTTTCCTTTCCACCCTTTTCTTGAGAGGAGAGGGTGGGAAGGAAAAGTGGATTTGACGGTGAAAAAGACGCATAAGAAGGGGAAATGTTCTATTTATGTGCGTCTCCCCCTCCGTCAATTAATGATAGGCAACGCATCTGCAATTTCGGATGTTTATGAGCAGCGGTCGCTTTTCATTTCGGTGGATACAGGTGGCCGCTTGCTCGTTTGCCACCTTATATTATAAAAAAAAACTTAGTCGACACATAAGAATGGGATGGGATAAGAATGGAATCTTTCGTCCATCTAAAGCTTGTTCAAAGTTGCAGGGAATAGCCTAATGTTTAAGGGGTACGGACTACGGATCCTGCGGTCGAGGGTTCGAATCCCGCCATTCGACTATTGACGTGAACCATATCCTTGCACAAGCTTGGATCTTAGTTGGATTCGTTAAAGGAAATGTTAGTAAATCAACAAAAATCTACTAATGTTTTTATACACGAGTAAAAAACTGGTCTTAAAATACTTAAGTCAAATCCTCTGAATTATTCAATTTAACTAACAATTGAGTACGTGCCATTCGTAATAATTTATATGTCTTTACAAGGTTTGTATTCTTACAGATAATACTTTCCTCAAATAGTTTTATTGGGAAAAAATTGCCATACACCTTATTGGCTCCCTGGCTTTCTGAAGGATTAGTTATGAGCAATGGTAAGTTTTTTGCGCTTAAAGACCTACGATATTTTGACGTATTTAAGTTACAACTAAGAGCGTGAGTTTACTTTTGACTAAACTATCGCACAACTGTTTAGGTACAGATTTTTAGTTGTCCAATTAAGCAGGTGAATTGGTTGCGAAACAATCGACAATCGCACATCAGTTGTGCGATAGTTTAGTCGAAGGCGTGCGTCCGTTCTTACTGTTCTATTAAAATTCCATAATGCTTTAAATTGCGAATATCAAAAATCAAATAACAACGAATGCCCTTGCTGAAAAATCAAGTAACGTGGAAATAAATAAATGTAATTACGATTCATTACAATAGTTAGTTAAACGATATCAACTGTGTCGGTTGGTTTGATTCAAAGAAATGAATAAATCAATGTTTTCACAGGTGAGAAATGGCGACAACGAAGAAAATTGCTTGCAAATGCCTTTCATTTTAATATTCTTAAAAATTTCGTACAAACTTTTGTTCACGAATCGGAAACCTTCGTTAATCAGTTAGAAGATGAAAAGTGTAAAGAAAAGACGCACATGCAACCACTGATATCGTGGGCGTTACAAAAGGTTATGTGTGGTAAGTAAAGAAAAACAAATAGAAAAAAGATAACCTTCTGATAAATCCATTAGATATCCTATCTTAATATTATAAATACGAAAGTTTAGATGGATGAATGAATGCTTGTTAGAGTTTACCCTGAACGACTGAACGGAACTCGATGAAATTTTAGCACAGACTTAGAGGATAGTTTGGAAGAACACATAGACTACTCACTTTTTTTTTAATACCACGCGGTCAGAGCCGCGGGCGAAAGCTAGTGTCAGATTAAAACCATCATCTGCTCCCCCTCCTATTCCCTACTCCCGTAAGGTCTATACGCGAATTTTTGACCTACAGGTTTATCTATCTACCGTCATTTCAGTTAATCAGTTCTTGGCATATGTCCAGAATAAAATGTTACATTAAAAAAAACTGCCAAAAAGGTGTATTTTTGCAAAATGATCAAATCAAAGAGCTTAAGCCGGGACTCAAAACCTTGTTAATAAGTGTTTCTTTATTTTCAGCAACTGCATTTGGTATAACAATACATGATGGTTTGAATTCCGTGACCGATAAATATTTCGATTCGGTGTTATCATTTTGTGACACCGCAACGTACCGAATAACCAGACTTCTATTGCACATCGATTTAATCTTCAATTTAACTAAAATAGGAAAACAACAAAAGCATGATGTCCAAAATTTACACGACCTTACTCATAGGATAATAAGTGAAAAAAAAGATTATTTACGAGAGAATAACGAAATAAAAAATAATGATTGTGAAATTGTGGGAAAGAAAACTAGATTAGCACTGTTAGATTTGTTACTCAAAAAGGAACAAGAAGGGGAAATAGATTATGATGGAATTAGAGAGGAAGTGGATACATTCATGTTTGGGGTATGTTCATTATTCATCTTACTTCTTACTAATATTATAAATGCGAAAGTATAGACGGATGGATGGATAAAGGGATGGATGGAATGGATGTTTGTTAGGGTTTGTAGTCTAAACGGCTGAACGGATCTCCGTGAAATTTGGCACAGGTTTAAAGCATAGTCGGGAAGAACACATAGGCTACTTTTTATCCCGGGAATAATTATGGTTCCCATAGGATTCATTAATTTAGTTTTTTAATGTTTACTCGATCATTCTGCAACGGTTCAAAATATCTTATTGAAATTTGGCACAGAT